CAGTGACATGGAAAGTTTAAACTAATAAAAAATAGTCCAGTCAGCGTGTGACATGAGAGTAGAGTGGGGCATGTCATGCAGTGACAAGTAATTGTTTTTATAAATTTTACTTTTTTACACATTTTAATTATTTAAATTTATTTTATTTATATTTTTTCAAATAAAAAAATAAAAAAATTTCAAAATTATTTAAATTTAAATTATTTATATTTTTATAAAATGTACTCTTTTTAAAAATATTTCTAATTTAAAAAACATAAACTAAAAAATAAAAGAATTAAGTTTTTATCAAATTTTACATTTTTTACATATTTGTTATTTTTACACTTGTGGTTCAACCCAAGTGTCTTATTGCTCAATCCAGTTATCTCTACCTCATACTAAATTCTATCATTTTGTCAAAATCCTATCAACAAAATTGATCTTTATCACAAACACAAAATTTGCACACCCTTTCTGTCCCACAAAAACACTTTACTCTGTTCTTGCTCAAAATAATTATTTTAAACAAAGTCTAACATACACTTTTTAGTTTTCTATAAAATATTAAATTTTATTTGTTAAGTGAATTTTTTTTATTATTCTAGCACCTAGATAACCTTTTTTAATCGTGTCTTTTCATTGATTACTCTCTTTGTTCTATATAATTTTCTCTCCTTTCTTTTTCACATTCTCCAATAGACTAGTTTGATTGTTAACATGTGTATTTATATAGAGAAAAAGACTAAAATATAAGTAAAATATTAAAAAAATCAAAATAGAAGTTCCATGTTTTTATTTCCAAAAATAAGATTACAAAAAATTGTGAAATATCCATATACAGTGTCATAATACTACAGTATAAACTCATATAATTTTAAGAATAAAAACATGAAACTTCTATTTTAGTATTTTTGTTATATTTTATTTCTATTTTTGGTGATTTTTATTTATATAAGTATGCATTATAAAAATATGATTTGAAATCCTCATTTCAAAATGAATCTATTGATATTAGTTTTAAATTCTAATACAATATAGTTATTGAATAGTAAGATTTAAAAAATATTGTCGGCCAATAAAAACAAAATAGAAAGAAAGTTACGAGATAAAAAAAGTATGATAAAATAAAATATTTTCAGTGATATTTTGTTTTGTAGAATTTTATATATAAAATTTTAAAATGTGAATTTTATTTTTATGTTTATAAATTTAATAAAAGTATATGGTTTTATACGCGCTTTCAAGAATATGATCCATTATGGGAAAAATTCCACTCTCAAATTATATTCACTTGGTTTGCTTCTTAATTTTCACTATTCATTTCATTATATTTCTTCCGTTTCAAAAGAAATCTTTTTTGTTTCGAATAATATGTAAAATCTCATTTATTTTAAAATATTATATTCAGAAATTAGTATTAAAACAAAAAGTAGTACTTCTATATTTAAAAAATATATCAAAAATTTTATAAAAGATGTGACAAATATTTTGTTTTACCAAATGACCATAGAAAGAAATACATCTAAACAAAAGTTATTGGTGGCATGGCATGATATAGTAAATTATAAACATGAATTATTTTGGGAGACAGAGGGGTATAAAATATTTATGTCATCTCTTGTTTTGTACTATCTCGTCCCATAAAACTTTTTAAAGATAAAAAAGTGTCTTATATATATATGTATGTATGTATGTATACTTCCTCCGTCCTAAAACTTTCTTCCCACTTCCCCTTTTTATCCGTCTTAAAACTACCTTCCCATTAGAAAAAAAGATGATAAATGACATTAATACCCTCATGTATTTACACCAATTATCTTCTAACTCTATATTTTGAATGATTGCAAAAACAAATTTTTAAAAAATATTTTTTAAGGAGGGTAAAATTTGAAGTCAAAGCCAAAAATTAAAAATGAAGAAAAGTCAAACTGAGAAGAAAGTTTTAGAACGGAGGGAGTATATATCTCTGTGTGTGTAATTTTGATATTATTTTTAATTACTACTCCCTCCGTCCCAGAGTATTTGTCTACTTTCATTTTTACACATCATCCAATACACCTCTTTAATCTATTTTATCTTATAATTTGTATATTAAAAAATTATAGAAATCATATATTAATAATCTATATGCTAAGACAAATCAAACAAGATCACACATAACTATATTTAAGCTTACACATTGAGAGAATTTGATGAGTCAAAGTGCTTAGATGAACAGTTCCAAAAGTCAAAAGTGGACGAATATAGCGGGACGGAAGGAGTATTTATCTATTCTACTTATTTCTACATACACATCAATTTTACCTTAGTATAAAGTAAGGGTATATTTGGAAAATGATATTAAAATTCCATATATATTAAGGTGTACCATTTTTCGTCTTTAGAAAATTTTATGTGACGGAGTAAGTAAAATATTTTGCTTAATCTTGAAATGGGTGTTGCCCTATAATGGCTAAATCCACATCATTTGTTACAAATATACTCCGTAGTTTAAAAATTGAGTTATTTAATTCTTATAAATGAATGTGTTTAGTCAAACGTGGGATCGATTTAGCAAATTATAAATATAATTTTTTATTTTTATTTTTATATGTAAATTGAATTAAAATGAGTAATGTTAGAGTCACAAACAAACAGTTTACAAAATTTACAAACTTGTCTTTTTAACATTTTCCTAAAAATAAGATGTACTCAAATAATAAAAGATATTTTAATTTAAAATCCACAAAAGACAATTTTATGAAGTTTGTAAACTATATATTTGTGAATCTAGCATTTTCCAATTAAAATAGGGAGTATAATTTAAGTCAATAGCATATCCCAAAATTTAATTAAGACAAGAAATACGTTAAGAGAAGCGGAGAAGGTGTCGCCGTGTCGGTGCATTGAATTGAATTGAAAAGAGAGGACTACGTAGGGGTCCTACTTAGGGGTTGACCACTTCCCCAATTGATGCTCCAAGGTTAAATGGTTGCAAATTGTAGTACCCAAAAATTACAATTTCTTCGCGTCCCAAATTGTTTTTTTCATTCCAAATTGTTTGCAACATTTGGAAGAATATGTAAAATATTATCTATTTAAGAATTATATTATTTACAAATTAGTATAGGAATAAAAAAGTAAAAAGTTACACCGTTCAAAAGTAAATTAAAAGTTTTACAAAATAAGATAGATGTGACAAGAATATTTTATTTTATTAAATGATCAACCAAATTGAGTAAATAAATCAAAGTTATCGAGAGACCGAAATAGTAATTGTGACATTCTTTTTTGAACGGAAGGAGATTCAAAATGTATTTCAAAGATTTATTCTTACATTTTGTGTTAATCCAAGTACAAAATTGATGACTTACACCAACACAAAAATGTCAGTGTAAAATTTATACGTATTACTCCTTCGTAAGGCCATTGGCATCAGGCGGAAGAGAATTCTTCTCTCGGAGAAAAAACTGCATTAGAATGGGGAGGAGTATTCTCCAGCACAAATTCCAAGAGTAGAGAGGAGGAGAAGTGTTTCGCGTAGGAGAAGATGAAATGAAAGGGATTTGACCAATCCCTACTTGCGATGTGGCCTTTTCTTTAAATTTTTTAATTAATATAAATATATTGTAATACAATTTGATAATAATTGATCTTATTGAATATTGAAAGATTCCTTTCTATCTATAGAGATTGCATGAGAGAGTTCTAACCATAGTAAGAGAACAACTATAGTAACAATATAATAAGAAAAACAATATAATATGGAAAGTTATTATATACCATACGGAGTAATATTTATTTCTTATTATCTAATATTCTTAATATCCCCTACAAATGATCATCAATAACGAAGAGCAGTTTGAAGCACATATACTAGAATTGAGCTGGCAGAAACAGTTTTGTGAGGATAACCTCTACAAGTAGAGAATCTGATCTTCGTTACATGACGAACGCGATTGAAATTACGTTTGCTGAGTTTTTTCCTGGTGCGAGTGTTGAGCATTGGAGCGAGGGCGATGAGTTTCTTTTTTTCTCCTTGTGGGTCGTTCTCTACTTCTTTATCGCTTTCCAACTTTCAGTCTCGAGAAAAAATATTGAAAAATGCAAATTTTCTATTCTTCGGTCAGGCACATAATTTTTTTTTGAAGAGAGAGGGAGAGAGAGATAATGCTTTTTTGGAAAGAAAGAGAGAGATAATGGACTGCAGCTGTTAGACACGCTCATCGAGATTGGTTAGTGACGTCATGCCATAGGACGATCGACCACCGTAAACCGAGAGTGGCGATGTGCTCTGTCTTGAAGAAGAGTCTAGGTTTTAGAGAATCTTTGTTCCAATACCATGATAGAATTTGATAATAATTGGTCGTATTGAAAATTGAAGAATACATCTCTATTTATAAGGATTACATGAGAGAGTTTCTAGTAACAATACAATAATGAAAAAAATATAATAAGAAAAGTAATTAAATATAATATTTATTTCTTATTATATAATATATTGAATTATTTTTCCGTAATGCTTTTAATGTAAGAAAGGAGAAGAAGTAATGAAAAAGTCGAGTCTTGGACCCACAAAATATGATGTAGATGAGACATGAGAGAAGTAGTCCCCCATTGAGTAATCCTTCCCGTACCAATGTCCTAAAAGAAAACAATTTTGTATTCCCTCTAGTCTTTTTTGAATACGGAGTAGTACGTAAATTTCTATTTTTTAAAATAAATTTTATTTATGTATAGAAATAAAAAATGCACTTACATTTTAAAAGATAACATTAGAAGCTTTACAAAACAATTGAGAATTTATATATCCGCAAAATATTTGGTTTTAGGATGGACGATATGTATAACCTCCATACTTTTTTGACTATATCACCTCTGATATTTCATCCACATCAGCGCCACATCAAATTCCACTAATTTCATACGGAGTACTTTTTATACAAGTGACGGTGTACATATGCCATTTCACCAACTTACTAGAATATGTTTTTAAATAATTAACTTAAACTAATAATATAAATTAATTTTAAAATATACATATAGTGTAAATATTATTTAAAAATAGAAACCAACATAAAATAATTAAAAAATAGACACTCATTAAATTCACATCAGTGATTCACTTGCAATGTTTTTGGAAACATAAGATACACAAAAAACTTTCATGAAACCAAATGATCCACTTCAAGCATTATCTACTCTTCCTATGCCCAGGCACTACAAGCAAAAAGGAATTGAAATATGATTAATTATAATTAAGTGTGTTGCTATTTCCACTCATTTTAGCTAAATCCATCCTTTTATGTTAAATGTACAACTTTGCCCTAAAAGATTGACTTGCATCTAAATTTTCTCTTCTATACTTTTAAGGCTAAAAATTGTCAATTTAACACAAAAGATTAAAAGGGGTGAATTTAGCCAAAATGAGAGCGAATATAACGAAGTCAACATCAAATAAATAAACGTGAAATACTGCAAACCAAATACCTCGTGATCACGCAAAACTTCTCGTGGTACTTGCCAAGTACCACGAGAGGCTGCTCTTCAGTATCGAAAATTACATGAATTTCTGCACTAATGCTCTCCCACATGTTTTGATACTTCCAAATTTCCTTATGGCGAGTGGGATTAGACATTACGAATGCCAAACCTGATAATATCTCACATACCGAACGAAAACGAATAGATTCTGATATCATTTGAAGCAAGATTATCGAAGCCTTCGCCTTTGCTTCATCAATAATAGCGATTCCATGTTCATCAATTTGCCATGTGGAAGCAATCACATTCACTGCAGTAATTATTGACATCCTACATAAGTGGATTTCACACATTCGGCGGGGATCACCAAATGGACTAAGAGGAGCTTTCGGATTAAGCACAAGGTAATTTCCAGCAACATCGATAGTGGTACATGGGGATACTTCTCCAACAGGAGCATCTTCAAACACGTACCAATGTCCCTCAACTTGAAAAGCGCAAATGCGCAAGTTGTGGGAATTGATTCTGATAGTAATAACTGAATTGTTGGTTACAACCATAACATTTTTAAAAGTAGGAATTTTGTTGTCGGGAATTGGTGGTAAAACCAAAAAAGTTTTAGCCACGCCATTAGAACCCACAAATTCTCTCTGATGAATGGGAGAGTTAAATTGAACTCTGGCTTGATGGATCCAAGTGGAATAAACTGGTTTCCATTGATATGGATCATTTTCGACGATAGACAAATCAAGTAATGGGAGATCTTCCATTTTGAAAACCTTCAAAGGAAAAGAAAAGAAACAATTACAAATATAAACATAGAAATTAGATAATAATTTCTAATTTCAAGTTTTCAACCACGAAAACCGATTTCACTCTCAAAAATTCAACTAAAGAATGCTTACCTTTGATCTCCGATTAAAAAACAAATTTGGGTTTCTACTAAATCCATCACTTCTTGAACTGCTTGCTGGTTACCCAGCCCATGACAGTTCCAACTGATTTTACTCATTACACTTGCTAGTTGTTACACTCGTAGGAAAAGAAAAAAAAGAAAACCCTCAAAAGAGTCTGTCGCTGTACTAAGGCAGAGCAATGTAAAGTCAATCAAAATTGTGATCATGCCAAAACAAATCGGTTAGAGGGTAAGAGCATTTACCACCCAATCTGTAACAACACACAAGAAGTCGGAGCAGAGCGTTTTGCAAATCAGGCATAGGAATCCACGAATCAGCACAAGAATCCACGACCAAGCATTCCATCACCACAAACCTCACAATAAGTGGTGCACACAAACAGAAAATCCAACAGCAAGATGAAAAAATCAGACAAGAACACTCACAGACACGAGAGACGGATCAAATAAACTCTCACCTATGAGAGACAAACCAGGCAATCATAGGAGGGAGCTAAAGACTCCTAGTATCACTTTTAACACGAGCCATGTTATAATTATCGGGCATATAAAGTTTGACAAAAAAACCCTAGTTCCATTTACTTCGAAGCAGTGAAATGGGTAAACTCTGTAATAAGAAGAGCAGAGAGGAATGACTGAATTTACTCCAAATTCGCCTTCCGAATTGGAGTGACATTGACGAACAAATTTGATTTGGGATTTGGAAGATTCTCTGAGGAAGGCACAAGTGGAGAACAACTGCGGCAGTGTGGGGGCAAAGGTGGTTGCGGTAGTGTGGCGGCATAGGTGGCATTGTGGCGAAGGTGGTGAAAATGTGGCGGTTGCGATGGTAGTGTTGCAGGGAGAATGGCAGTGTGGTGGTGCTAGTAACGGCAATGTGGTTGGCAGTGTGACATCAGAGTGGGTACAGTTCGTAGTGTGGCTATGTGACACCCTTGTTATTAAACAAGGGCAATATTGTCACTATATTTAAAAAAAACTTATATATGCCCAAAAAACTTCATGTTTCAATTTTGCATTTAGCACTCATTTTACTCCTATTCATGTCCTTCTCCCAAACTGAAAATTCAAATAATTTTTACATTGACATTTGAAATTTGAAAACCACAAATTTACTTGAGCAAAGATAGTTACCCTACTCCAAAGTATATTTCCAAACCTAAATGTGACAGCGATGTTTGATGTTCTAAAGTTGGATGTTTGAAGAAACTAGGAATCGGAAAAGCTAGAAGTTGGAAAATGTTGGGAAAATATAAAGTATTAAAAAATCATTCTATTAAATAATCACCCAAATAAATATGTAAAAAACTAATTTTGGATATAAAAAAGAATTCATTGTCTGTGTTTTAGATGTTATGTTATAAATTTGGATATATAATGCTATTGTATAGTCATCATATGTAAATACATTTTTAAGTCGTTGGAAAAAACTAAAAAGAGCAGGAAACAACTGGAAGAAGTTGGAAGAAAATGGAAGGAGTTGGATAAAGTTGGAAGTTAATTTTCCAACCGAGAAGAACAGAGCCTAAAAAGTGAGTATGCTCTCTATTTTTCTTTCTAATTTTTTATTCTTTCAATATGTATAAATTTATCTATTCAATACTAATCACCTTTTCTGTCAATGTTCTCTTAATCAAAAAGTGAACAAGAATATATTTGATTTAGTAAGTATTGGGCTGAGAGCATAATATGATGATTCATGAAGATGAAGTTACTGCAGATATTAAGTTTAATTGTAGTGCTTATATATTTCAAGTGTGTTGAATGTATAGAATTCTTTCTTCTAGCTTTGGCTAAGGCAGATTGAGTTGTATTGAGACTTGTTTTGGCGATACAAAATTAGTACATTTGATTCAAAAAAATTATCTATTCAAACTCTAGCAAAGAGGAATTTTGAAGTTGCCAAAGATACAACTTCCTACATTTCCATTAGCAACTTCAACAAGTGAATAATAAGAATATCCCTTCATATCTCTTGCAGATTTTATATTTACCAAATTGAGAACCCATAGCTAAAATTGACAGCTACATAATACTACGTAATAATAATATGATTATATGAATATCCCTTCATATTAGCCAAAATGAATGTTGATTCCATAAGTAAATTAATTTTAAATTGGAGTTTTCCAATTATTATATTTAGCCCAGTATTTTAAATCCTTGACTAAAATGATTAATTCCTATATTAAAATCAATCCCAGGTGAAATAAAAAGTATATCTCATAACTGTGTGCGATAGCACTTCTTCCCTTATACTTCTACACTAGATGAAGGTGAAATCTTAACACAGAAAACAAGTGAATTTAAAAAAAGTATTAGAAAAATCATGAGAAAAAGATAACTCACCTGGTAAATTCCCAAAGGATTTGGGCAAGCGCAGGAATTGGACAGTAAATTCCAGAAGAAATTGGCAAAAAATGGGGATATATAACTAAAGAGAAAGTCTGAACTCTGCGATTTCTGAAAATTAAATCACACAAGGAAACAAAACAAAACAGCCGAATTAACATCAATCAATTATTCAATAACTTCTCTATTTCAAAAACAGAATTCGAGTTAATTAATCAATGGAAGATACAGACCTGCAACTCCACAACGAAATTAAGAAATTGGAACAACGAGGCGATGGATGCTCGGCTACTGTTCGTTTAGTTTAGAATTTTAGATGGAGCGCAGAGATGAAATGGGTTTGGGCCTGGACTGATTTTAGAAAATAATCAGTACACTACGGAGTAATTGGATCAGATGTGCAAAATATTCGTTTATTTTTGTCGGACATCGATTTCATATACTGATTTTGACGGATGCTAAAAGTCAAATTTATATCCGTCGGATATCGAATATATCTGTATTTGTTTCTAAATTTTCAAAGTCAAATTAAACTACATAAGGAGCTTAATAAATAAATATTTTAAATATATCCATTCAATTACAATTTGTTAGGGAGTAATATTTTTCTTGTTTTTTTAACATATACTATTCTACAAAAACACATGGTAAAAAGTATTGCATACTACACATACACACCTATTTGTGCGTCTACACATATGATAGAAAAACATTTATCAGTGTTGAGATAAGGTTTTGCTTTCAAAAACATTATTTTGGAGTTCGTGCATCTAATGTGTTTTGTTTTGATTGCATATTTGCATATAATGTCTTTTATTTGTGGAGCGCCAAGAGTTATATAAATGGTGCTACGAAATTAATACTTCATCCGTCCTAAAATCATCATTTCATTTCCTTTTCTTCTCTATCTTAAAACTACCTTCCCAAACATAAAAGGGGCTGTGTAATTACAAAATTACCCTCCCCCCGTCTCATTTACGCCACACAACAACCAACCCTATCTCTCTCACTTACGCCCCTCTCATTTACGCCAACCTTATCTCTTTTTCTCCGCTCTTCGTCTCCTCTCTCTAAACTCTAGATAGTGGCTAGAACTGTTTATCCGTCTCTCTCTGTCTCTCCTTCTCTGCCTCTCTCAGTCTCTCTGTAACTTCATCGCCCTCTCTGCGTCTTTGTAAAACTTCACTTTTCCATAAAACCCTTGATATAATCTTCATCGCCTCACCTACATATGGATTCTGCATATTTGAGTTCTGAATCCCAAATCCCTCAAATCTTTGAGAGCAAGATTCAATTTCAAGGGCTGAACAATGAGGACGAGAAGGAAAAAATGAAGGTTTCAGAGTTTGAGGACGAAGAGAGTGAGTCGGATGATGATGGATTGGACTTCGATTCTCTCCCATGCTCGAGCATAATCATCGTTGATAGTGAATATGAGAAAGCTCATGCAAGGCTTTGGGAGCGAATCTAATGAAGAGCAGGGGACAGAGGAGGGGTAGGGCAGAGACCTGGTTTCCTTTAAATTGCTTGTTTTCATTTTTTGTCCGTCCCAAAATAAGTTGCATTTTCTTATAATAATAAACTTTTAAGGATAAAATACCTAAACTACTCTAAAATAAGTCACTCCTCTCCACCTTATTTTCTCATTCATCACCACCCCCGTAAAAAAAAGTAAGGTATTTTTGAAAAATCAACACCACTTTTTCTCTTCCTTAAATATGCTCTAAAGTCAAAACGATAATATAAAATGGGGACGGAGGGAGTAATAAACAAAATAAAAGTAAAAGGTTCAAAATTAACAAAAATTAAAACCGTAAAAAAAGGGTTTAAAATTTAAAAAAATGAAGTTAAAAAAATGGAGGAAGAAGTAGGCGAGTTACGGTCGAGGAAAAAGAAGAAAATGGATCGGAGCAGAAGGATGAAGAAGGAAAAAAAAGGGATCCGAAAGAATTTGCCAAAGTTAGTCTATATATAAAAAAGCAAAGTTTTAAAACGGTCTGTTCTAGTAAAACATTTTCCCAATTCAATCCTCAATAAGTAATTATTACTTATTTGATACTCTATCTGTCTCATTTTAAATTACTTGTTTTCCTCTTTTCTCTGTACCAAAATAAGTTGTTTGTTTCTTGTAATCGTAAATTTTTAAGAATAAAATACCTAAATTACTCCTAAAATAAGTCACTCTTTCCACCTTATCTTTTCATTCATCGTCACCGCTCCTAAAAAGTAATGGCAATTTCGAAAAATCAATTATATTTTTTCTCTTCATTAAATATGTCTCAAAGTCAAAACGGACGATTTAAAACGGGACGGAAGGAGTACTTCATAATTGAGATATTTTCTTTGATAATCCTCAATGAATATTAAATACTTACATAGTACTTTATAATTGAGATATTTCCCACGATAGTCTTTCGATAATTAGGGTGATAGTATTATAAATATAACAGCTGATTTGGAAGAACATTTAACTAAAAACAACTATTTTGAGAAATTTCTTCTCATAATTTAAATGATGAAAATACTAAAATATACTACACTTAAGAGTCATTTGATGGACATTAATGGAAGACTATCAAAGAGATAAATCTCAAATGTAAATTACCACGTACGTAATCATTGCTTTTTTTAAAAAATAATTTAGAAAACTACAATATCTTAAAGAAAATTTTTATTTGTCCCCGATTTTGTATCACAAGGGTTTATCCTGACATTAAATATAAGTGCAAAATTGATATTATGCCAATATTGCATTTACATTTTATGTCAGGTTAAACCTTTAGTGTACAAAATAGGATACAAAGTGGGATGAGAGTAGCACAACCCAATCTTAAAAGAACATTTTGAGAATCCGCACAATATAAAATCTGATCTTAAGATTCTACACCCTCTTAAAACCATAGACATGTAAATTCAGGTCTACTCTCAATCAACATGTATGCGTATTGGCTGATGGTAAAAGATTTTGGCATTTTGGCATTTTGCATATTGTTTTGACAAGTAAATGCACAACTTTAGTCTTTTGTCGGAATTTAAAACAAAAGCAAGTGTGCTAATTCTGATGAGAGAATAAAGAACTAACAAAACCAGCCTTCTCAAAAGTGAAATCATGTGCCATTCGTTCACTCCAATGAAAATGGTAGTGGAGAGTGGAGACTCTTGTTCACCTGGTTTTAGTTGGAAACCCGTAAACCGGAGTTGACCCAACGCATCCGGCTCCCCAAGTTTACCGGGTTAGTTCAAACCACGGTTTAGCTAATCCAAAACAAAGATTCAATGAAGATGGAACATGATGACATTGATTAATAATACTCCATAGAAGATGAACTTGGTTAGTTTAACTACAAAAGCAAAACCAAGAAAGATCATACAATTGATTCACTCATCCATAAAGACCACTTCTGACACTCATCCACCATTAATAACTCTTTTCAGATCAATGAATGATTCACTTCAATGGTTTTTGGATTCAATATGATCCACTTAGAACTTTCTTGAAACCAAATGATGAACTCCAAACATCATCCACTCTTTATAAACCCGGCACGAGGTTCCATAGCACTACATCAGCAAAAAGGAATTACAATAAGAATAACTACAGTATGATAAATAAACCTGAAATCTAGCAAATGAAATACCTCTTAATCACACAGAACGTCTCGCCATATTTGCTAAGTGTATCTACCACTTCTTCACTGAGGGGTTGCTCTTCGGTATCAAAAAGTTCATGAATGTCTTCACTAATGTGCCGCCACCTGTTTTGATACCTCCAAATTTTGTTGTGGCGAAACGGATCAGATGCTACAAACACCAAACCTGACATGATCTCACTTACTGAATGGAAACGAATGGACTCTGATATCATTTGAAACAGTATAATCGAAGCCTTAGCCTTTCGTGCATCGATAATGGCGATTCCGTGTTCATCAATTTGCCATGGAGAAGCAATCACATTGACTGCGGTAATAATTGCTTCCCTACATAAGTGGACATCTTTTAATGTGGGGGCATCACCATATGGATGTTGACGACTTAGTGGTGTAAGCTCCCTGTAATTCCCAATGACATTGGTATATGCATATGGGGAAAGTTCTCCTACGGGGGCATCTTTAAACACGTACCAATGTCCCTCAACATGAAAAGCACAAATTCGCAAGTCGTGGGAATTTATTCCAAGAGCAATGGATGACTTGCTAGTTACAACCCTAACAATCTTAAAAGTAGGAATTTGGTTCTCGGGAATTGGTGGTAAAACCAAAAAGCTTTTAGCCACACCATCTGAGCCTACAAATTCTCTCTGATGAATGGGAGAGTTAAATTGAACTCTAGCCTCATGGATCCAAGTGCAATAAACTTGTTTCCACTGATAGGAATCCTTTTCGACGATAGACAAATCAAGCAAGGGAAGATCTTCCATTTTGAAAACCTTAAAAAGAAAAAAAAAGTAATTACAAATATATATCAGCCAAAGATACAACTTCCTACATTTCCATTAGCAACTTCAACTAGTTAATAATAAGAATATCCCTTCAACTACGTAATAATAATACTACGTAATTTGACTCCAAAATCAAAATTAACTTGAGGGTGCAATTGACGGGGTAGGGGGTGTTCGGGTCGGGGCGGGAGGAGGTTTATCGGAGAGTTAGAGGGTAGGAACCGTCAATTTTATAAACGGGACACCGGAGCACCCTTGGGTCATCCCATTACATTGATTCCCAATGTCATGGGAACCAAGGGGTTATATGAATATCCCTTCATATTAACTAAAATGAATGTTGATTCCATAAGTAAACTAACTTTAGATTGGAGTGTTCCAATTATTATATTTAGCCCAGTATTTGAAATCCTTGACTAAAATGATTAATTCCTTAACTAAAATCAATCCCAGGTGAAATAAAAGGTATATCTCATAACTGTGACGGAGGTACTCCTACACTAGATGAAGGTGAAATCTTAACACCGTAAACAAGTGAGCTTTAAAAATTATACTACCTCCGTCCCTAAGTATTTATCCAGTTTTAACTTTTTCCGGTCAACTATTTTCCACATTTGATCTATAATTAAATAAAATATATATTGTATATTAATTAGATAAAATAATATTTTAAAAATATTGTATATAAAAAATCTTACTACGGTATTAAACTATTTTTGTATCAATATCTAATATCATTTTTATTTAATTTGAGTTCAAAGTTTACCAATTTTTAATGGAAAAAAGTCAAAAGTCGACAAATTTTCATGGACAGGGGAAATATTAGAAAAATC